CTCTCTCTCTCTCTCTCTCTCTCTCTCTCTCTCTCTCTCTCTCACTGTAGCAATGTCTTCAACGCAGGTACGTGGTAAGCCAATCTTGTATCGCTCAACCTCTCTCTCTCTCTCTCTCTCCCCTCTTTGTCGTGGTCTTCTTTGCAGGTGTGCGCGGCGGCTTCTTCAACCTCCGGGTCCGCTATGGCGGACTTCCTCTCCGATGGCGACTTCGGCTATGGCGCGTAGCTCTCCCTGCGGCACACAACGGGCGCGCATGGGATAGCGGGTACCAGCTCCGATACCAATGCAATCAGACTCACTTTCATTCACACTTCGCATGCATGTAAACAGGTTGCGCAGCACACTGGCGACGAGCGCCCACTCAAAACTCAGAGATATGGCAAACAAGAGTACAGTTCAGATACAACTCGCTTCAGATGGCTATGGCGACTCAGCGCCCGTACAAGTCTCTGTTCGTCACTCGCTTGTCGCTGCTTATCACACACAGGATCACCCTGGATATCCCAAACACATACTCTGCACACTCACACACTCACACACTGAACTCTATCTACAGCTATGGCGGCTATGGCCGCTGCTAACCTATCGCTATGGCTAAGCTCCTTCTCTCTCGCTGACGCATGTCCAATGGGACAATGGGCAGGGAGCCGAGGATCCACTATGTGATAAAAAGGACTGAATGGACAATGCGAGGTCATCGTAGCATCAACAAGCAATGTTCATTCCGGATACATACAAGATGGCGCAAAATGGCACAGCAGAAGGTTTGAAGAGAAGATCTGATCTGATCTGGACTRACCCGACATCCATCACACATCACACGTGGGAGAGAGGGAGGAGGGACCGCACACATGGAAGAAAGGTCCCTCCTGCGCACACATACATAGGGAGATACCACGGATGAGAGATGGGGGAGGGACGAGACGAGGRGGAAGGAGGCGAGGGAGTAGACCAAGATCGCAATAGCAAGCCCAAGAAAATAGTCCCTTGCCGAGTGTCCAATAAATGTCTGTCCCAGAAATGTCGAATCAGATCCTGGGCAATGCGCCCAGCATAACCTCTGCCTGAATCCTACTCCGCTACCCAGCGCAGCATGGCGCAGCCTCCAACCAGCAGCATGTCGCTCAGAAGTGAGCGGCTCGAACTGTCCCTGGCCCAGCCGCTGCCCAGCTATTTGTAGCGCTGGGCGGCCGGGCCTACCTGGTACTGTGTGGCCTAAAACGGCCCAGGTGGTCTGGGTCCCTACCGGACGTCCAGACCTTGCTGCTGCTGCAGCATGGCGCAGAAATGCGCCTGGACTAAAAACGGCCTTCTATCGGTGCACCTGGCCCAAGGTGCTGTCTTGGGTCCTGCAGGACCGAAACGACGCCGGTTTGGCGCCAAAATGCGCCTGGCTTGTTTCGGGCCTGCCTCCGGTGTACCCAGTCCCAAGGTCTGGCCTTGGGGCTGCAAGTCCGAAACGGCACCTGAACAGACAAAAATAAGACAGCACACACACACCAAAAAAACGGTAAGTAAAACTACAACCTATCTACCTAGTGTGCTGCCTAGGGCCTGGAGGGCCGTCGTGGGCCTCCACGGCGCGTGCTGGATGGTACGCGGCCTGGGGGCCCCTCAGCAACCGTCGGGCCCCTCCAATGGGGCCCGTGTGCAGGCGCAGCATGCAACACCCCCCCCTCCTTATGAAGTCAAGCCAGTCGGGGGCGAAGCTGACGATCTGAAGGTGGTACTTGGACGCGGGTGCGGCGTGGAGCCGAAGATGCCGGCTTGTCTTTCAACTTTTGCTCGTAGCGTGCGAGAGCGTCGGGAGCCGTTGCTTGAAGTTCCGCACGGGTAAGCCATCGGTCAGCTCTATGGGTGCAGTATGCAAAGTGAACCAAGAACTCGGTTGGCTTGTTGCCATGTCGTCGGTGGGATATGATGTTGTCGATCTCTTGGAAGCCGTCCATTGAGGGGGGGTCTTGTGATCGCCGCCCGGGGAAGTCATCAAGTTCGGCTGGCGTGTAGAGAGCCAACTTGGAACAGTGAAAAACCGGGTTGACGGGCAAGTGGCCGGGCACCTGAATGATAAATGAAGGGCCTTCGGGTGCTTCTCCGGCGGGTGCCACGATCGGCCAGGGCCCCATCCATTTCGGAAGGAGCCTGCGAGAGATATCTTGTTCGAGGCTGAATTCTGCAGCGGAAACCCATACGAGGTCGCCGGCGCGGAACGGACAAGGAAGACGCTGGCGGTTGGCCTGTTGGCGCATACGTTGCTGCGTCTTTGACATCTGGTCACGTGCCTTGACAAGAAGCTCTTGCATTCGACGAATGAAAAGAAGGTGGTCGTCGCTCTCGGTCGTCCGTGGAATGATTGTGTCCAACGGAGAGTGGACCGGCGAGCCATGCTCGAATTCGAAAGGCGACATCCCGATAGCCGGATGGATGGACGAGTTGTATGCCAACTCG